AGCTGCGTGTTGACGGCCCCCGTGGCCCTCGATGCAGACCGTGAACTTTGTGTGTCTGAGCCTTGACGGTTAAAAAAAGAAGAAAAAAAAAGGATAAAATAAAAGAGCCGAAAGATGGGGCCTTCAGAAATGTATTGTGAGCGAACGTTTTACAGGGTGTCTTTGTGTCGAGTCAATAAAAGGGGGATTAAATGAGCTCTTTGGTAGCCTCGCGCGGCGCTCTCCCCTTTCTTGTCGCCGAGCGAATTATGAAAAGAGGTTCATGTCAGGCGAGTCGCCCTTGGGCTCAGAGAGGAGAGGCGAAAACGAGAGCGTGGCGGCTGAGAGGAGCCGTCTCCCCGGCTGAGGTTGCCTGCCTCTCCTCTAGGAAAGAGAAGACAACAAATCAGGCTGCATCTGAACTCTGCCACAAACCAAGAAGATGTCATTGGTGTATTTTGCTTTCTTATTTGGAAAGCTAAATCAGTTTAGCTGATTTTTTATTGTTTTTTTGTATTATTATTAGTTATTTATTTGAGTTTTTTGGCCCACACGTTGCTTTGAAAGCCTTCTGTAAGTAGAAGAAAGGCGTTGGGACACAGAAGAGACGACCAGGATAAAAGCGGTGGTCTGCTGATGGTGCTTCCTGTTTCAATTATCAATTCTCGCCACAAGAGAATCAGACACAACGTTTTAAAACGTTTCTCCTTTTCAGACTATTTTGAAGGTTTGCTTATTTACTAAAGTAGATTTTCTTCGAGCCGCAGGTCAAACGTCATGCGTTTTCATTAAGTAGCCATTCAGTCAGCAGCTTCGCCGAACAACAGCTTCTTCATTTCTGAACACTGACTTCGGTAGCCCGCAAACAAACTACAGAACCTTCACATTTTCTTGTCTTTATGTGACGCGCCAACAGAAAGTAGAGCCCCATTGTAAAGTGGAAAGTAAAAGATGCGTGGTCTTCAGTTTTTTGGATTTTTTTTTTCACATTTAAAACTCTATAAAAACATGATACGTATTTAGTTCTTGGTGTTCTCCTGCATTGCCGTGTGTTCTACCCAATCGCTCCTATCTTCTCCACAGTGGGAATGGTGCAATCAGGTTGATGGGCTAAAAGGTTCAAACCTACTCTCACCTTCCACGTTTGTTGCGTTCTCTTCATGGACTGTGGCAAACACAAACAGAGATTCCTATGATTTGCCTTTCTTCTTGCCGCTCCACTGAACTGCAGGTTTGTGATGTAACACCAGTAACAGTTGTCCCATTGAAAGACTGTCTCACCTAGGAATCAAGCATGGAGAACCAACATTTAGCTTTATGTTGTACAAATCTAGAACTCAACCCAGAATAACTGGAACCAACATGTAGTTTTATACCTCTCCAATCCAGGACAAACTTAAGATTCAGACAAACCCCTGTTAGTTTATAAATTACATACTGCTTATTTTTATGAAACATGGGGGAACCAATATTTAGTATTGTACTTTTGTGCTTTTTTTTCACCCTTACCTCTCTGTCTGTCTTTTGGTTTTGTTGTTTTGTTTGCATTTTCTTCCAATTTATGTGAAACACTTTCAGCTGCCTTGTTGCTGAAAATGTGCTGTACAAATAAAACAACCTTACCTTACCTACGCTATGGATCTGTGTGTCTCCTCCAGAGTTACGGTGTGGTTCTTGAATGCGTTCCTGATGGATGTCCTTCTTGCCCGTTGGGTTTAAGCTGACCACCATAACTTCAGAGTGGTTGCAGGAGGAGTTGCTTTCGTTTTCATATGATGAACAGAGCTGTTTAAAGATAAGGACGCCGTTTGTTAACCAAACGGTGCTTCAACCATCTCATCTTCATCTAAATGTGTTCACTAACGGCTTCTCTGAACGCTCTGAGGCCTTTATTGAACAGCTGGAATGCTAAAAAAAAAAAAATGTTTGAATGAAACTCTACTTACTAACTCAGTGTCTTGTCATGGAAACTGGAGTTTATTTCGGGGTATCAGGCTAAGAGGGGTGGTTGCCCACTCTTAGCCTAAATGGTTTACCATTTAGAATTGTTTTGGTGATGCATGTTGAATAAGTCGCCTTTAGACTCAATGACGTTGCTCAACCCATCCATTGATGTTTGAGGTGAGTGCTTTACCAGGCATTGCATAATCTGGCTCAGTGATGATGGTGTCGATCTCAGGAGAAGCTGCTCAAAAGTCAAGCATTCATTAAAACCCCACGCAGGTTGAAGCCTCTCAGTGAAAGGAGAGTTTTATCCTCCTATTCTTCATATGTATTTTGTCCAAAGCCCCCCTCGGACCCCCCGCTGGGACTCCAAGGCAGCCGGTCTGGTCACTGTCCTGCTGTCTCAGGGAAACCCACCCGGAATCTCTTTATTTCTGTTTTTAACCAGCATTTATTATTATTATTACTATTATTATTTCTGAAAACGTTTTATAGAAAACACACACAGAGAGAGAGAGAGAGATACGCAGTAGGATTTTTTTTCCCCCACCCAATCCACCTGTGTGTTCTGCCTGCCTGCCTCTCTTCCACATTCCCCAGGAGCAACGGACACAAGTCGCCCCGTTTCGGCAAAACATGTCCCGTTTTAAAGCGGATTTACTGGGCTGCGACGGTGGCTGATCCGGACCGAGGGAAGCACCGAGATATAAAAAAAAAAAAAAAAAGAGAGAGAAAGATGGGAGTAAAAAAAACCCAGCGAAGGTGAGTCCAATTTATTATTACTGCTATTATGTTATTAATTCCCGAGCTGGGGCGCGCAAAGTTTTTTGAAGCTCCGCCGCCGTGACGCACGCCGAGTGAGGTGGCCAAAAAAAAAATTTACGCGTCGTGATTAGATGAAGTAAGATTCAAGAGCAGGAGCTGTCTGTTCGCCTTAGCTCTTTATCTCCTTGTGTGTGTGTGTTCGTGCGTGTGCTCGCAATGTTTCCAGTGCTGCGAATCAGCACGATCATCATCTTGGATGCTTAAATCAGAAATCAGATGCGGTCCTCTTGACGCGCGAGTCGGAAGACAAGCTCGGTTCATCATTTGAGAAACCTTTATTTATTTATTTATTTATTTATTTATTTGTTCATTCACAGCTCAGATGTTTTTTTGTTGGGAGATTTATTAAAAGCGCGTACAGTCGGTGCGCCGCAGAGCTTCCCACCGAACACACCTCTCTGGTTTTCTCTAACGCCTCACGTTCCAATGAGGTGAGAGTTCCGCGAGCCTTTCGACCCGCATTGCGCGGATCCCGAGCATCTCCGACACGCCGAGCCGCGTGGTGGACTTGTCAAACTGTAAACCCGCGCGCCACGCGCCACGACCCCGAGTTGCGCCGCCACTAACACCCAGTTCTCCTCTCCGCGCGCTTTGCGAGGATCAGTCCAAGTGCGACTGCGTGGAGAGCTGCAGAAAGGAGAAGGAGAGAAGAGGTCTAATTGAGATGAGCTGAAGACCTGGCGCGTTAAGCTGCAGGGGCGGTCCCAGAAAGTTCTTATGGGGTGCCCACTAATAATCTTTGGTTTCTACATTGGGAAATATTGTGAATTTTGATTCACTTTTTTTTTGTTTTGTTTTGGGGTTTTTTACGGGTTGCGCACCCTCTACAGACCCCTCCTACCAATGTCACATGTCACATGTGCAAAGCTGCGTTTCCATTGCAACTCTGCACAAAATTCTGGCAATATTCCACTAATGCCAAAAAAAGATCCAATCTTGCAACTGTCTGTACATAGAAATGTGATAGAAATCACATGTGAATAAGTTTGATAATGGCAAGCCATCATCCTCCCACTGTCTTCTTGGTTGTTGATCACATGACATGTGTGATTTTTTTTTTTTGAATGCACAGATTTTGATAAATCTGAAAATCCACCTCATCCCATCACAACAAAACTTTTAACATAAAAAGAAAACACTGAGTTTTTTGGGGGAATTGGTGTGTTTCTATTCAGCGAATTTACTTTTGTGATTCCAATTTTCTCATATGGAAACAACTTAAAACATAACCGTACGTGAATGTGGCTAAATGTGAAAAGACACGCGCTCAAATCACATGCTTGATACGCAAATTCTACAAGACCCACGTACGGCAGTGGGGAAAAAAACAAATTTTTCTGAAACGCAGAAATTCTCATGTGAAATCAATAGGAATTCACATGCGAACCTAAGTTGTAAAACGGAACATTCCTAGCATGCGTTTCACATGTGGGGATTACGTAACATATTAACATGTGCAACACTTGAAGGAAAACTTACATGTGGAAGTTGTTTATTATTTATAAACAACTTCCAAAAATATTCCATTGGTGGAACATTTTTAGTTTGTACATGTGAACAATATTTACAAAGTTTTCCCATGTGTTACACAGGAATTATGTCATGTAGTAACACGTGAAATTGTTTCACATGCGTAAATTAAATCAAGCCAAAACATGTTAAACACTTTGGAGTAACGTTTCTTAGACCACTCATGTGGAAAAACGGTTCACATTGGAGACATTTTCCAACGTGTTGGTCATGTAGAAATTAGAACATGTGAAACCCATTGAAATGTATTCACATGCAAAACACGTTTTTCACATCTCACAGATTTTGCTGACATTCTTGCTTCGGTGTTAAATATTTCATTTTAAGGGCGGTGCTTGAAGGGGGCAGTCGGCATTGAAAAGGGGCAATAAAAAGGACAAAACCAGACAAATGTGAACAAATCGATTGAAATTTTATTTTAATTAATAATAAAAAAAAACCCCAACTGTACTCATATTTTCTATGGATTTATAAAAAATTAAGTATTGTTCAGGGATTCATTTCGAAAAACTTGGGTGCATAACATAGTTCAAACAAATAAAAGTATTTTTATTACAAAAAACATCATGTTTCTGCCATGTCGTGGCTGTTCCATAGCTTGCACTTTCTCAACCACATTTTTGTCCTTCCACTTAACTTTCCACTGGACACAGCTGCGTGTGAGGACAGCAGATTTCGACCTATTTTGGATTTTTCCCCCCCCTCCATATGTGTTTTGGACATTTGTAGGCTGAAAAACATCGTAGACGCCTTTACTGACTCGGCCAAATCAGAGCCACCGGCGCATCTTTCCGTGTCTTCTCCTCCTCCTTAAAAAGACGCATTTGCGCACCTTTTGACGCAACAGCGCGTTTCAGGCGACACGGCCCGAACGCATGTGTCACTGTCATAATCAGCCCCGCAGACTTTCTCTAATTTTCAGAAGACGTACCATCGTTTTCTAAAAGCCCCATTATTCCATCGAGCCCGCGGGAACGCGCACCTGCGTACGGGACATTTAACGCATCTCGCGAACTCCACCAAGAAGAGGTTCAACTCCTCCCTTCAGAGTTTCAACGCGGTCCCGATAGAGGATGGCGCTGCTGCCTCTGCTGCTGCTGAACGCGAGCCGCTCGGCGTTGGCTGCAGTGTGAAGGCGAGCTGGAGGAGGAGGAGGAGGAGGAGGAGGAGGAAGAGGTGTGGAGCAGAGGAGAGAAACACCCTATAGGTGTGAGCGCGTATGTGCGTGAACGAGAAGGAGGAGAAGAAGGAAAAGAAGGAGAGGGGAGGAAAGACAAAAAACCCCCCAAAAAACAACAACAAAAAAGCTGAGTGCGCTGAGCTTCAGCCCTGCAGCGCGTTATCTGTGTGCCGCGGAGAGACGCGACCAAGGAGACGAGATGCGGATCGCCGAGACTAACTGGTGGGATTCATGTCCCCCGCAGCTGAGTGGCTGAAACCTATCCGTGGGATGAAAATAGGAGGATCAAAGTTTGTTTGTTTTTTCCCGCTTTGTAGTTGGATTTTTTTTTAAATTAATTAATTAATTTATTTTTTCCCACCCCTGACGCCCGTGATGGAGCGCCACTTGGGAGAGAGAGGATGATGGACACTTTGGCACCTGCAGCTCTCGTCCAGAAACTAGGCGCGCGCGCTGCTGACCGAGCCCTCAGGACGGCGATCGCTCATTTGTTTTGAAGTGGAAGAGGGGCAAAAAAAAAAAAAAAAAAAAAAAAAAAAGAGAGAGGTGTGAGCTGGGGGATGTTGCGCGCAGCGATTCCTCTGAGACCCGACGTGCGCACTCATCACATCCCCGCCGAGGAGCGCACCTTAAAGAGAGGAGCCGCGGTCCGCCTCCACTGCTCACTCCAGCCGCTCGGAACTTGTTGAGCGGCTCCACGGAAGGGGACGTGAACTCCCGGAGAGGGGGAGGGGGGCGACGCGAGAAACGTAAGTTCTCCCTTTTGTTGGTGAAGTTTGCGTCGAGACACGGCAACAGCCGCGGAGGTGGAGTTGAGGTGTGGGGTGAAGGAGGAGGGGGGGGGGGAGTTAACAAAGCTCGGGCTTTGCGGTGGCGTTTCTCCACGCGGCCACGAGCGCTTTCTGTGTTTCTGTGGGGACAAAAACGCTCGCGGAGACTGGAGAGGCAAATGTGGAAATGGAGTGTTGTTGTTTTTTATTTTCTATGTTTTTTTGGTTGTTTTTTTTTTGTTTTTTTCCTTGGGACGTTTTTAGGACGCGCCCCCTTGTGGAAGCTGCGCTCGACCGCGTCGCTGTTTACTATATTCGCAACACGCTTGTGTGGAGTTATTAGAGCGGCCGCATAGTTATCACTGCTTAGAGATGAATCAAGTCAAAGAGGCTTAGTGTTGCTGCTGACTTTTTATGTTATTTTATTTATTTATTCATTTTTGCTGCGAAGTGTGAAAGAATTATCCCTCAGGCAGATATTGACCTCAACAGAAGCTGCTAATGCATAACGTTTTTTTTTTTCCAGGCCTTGAATGAAATAATAATAATAATAATAATCCATTTTGAAAGATACATTCCTCCCACTGTTGTTCCGTGGCACTCCGAGTTAAGGCCAGAGAAAGGGTCAAAGTGTCAAATTCCCGTCGAAATCAACCCACATTTCATCGGCTTCACTTTAAAACGGAATTTTGTAGGTAATTCAATTTTAGCTCTTAAATCTATAAGCTGAACCACAAAAACGTCAAAAGTGAAATGAAGTGTCTTCAACTAGTTGCCAGTGAGTGAATTGTGAAAGGCGACAAAAACTAATAATAATAATAATGTGGAGATGATCAAATTGCATTAAACGTTGAAATGGAGCATTTCCTCGGGGCATTTTGACGGTGCGCCCCCTTGTGGACCGCATCGACGTAAGACGTGATGACGCCTGCCTCGGTGACTTTGCGTCACCAGACGTGGCCACAGCCTCGTTGCAGAAGACGTTCCCTTTCGCTGGTAGTGACGTGATCGCCTCCGGTGTTCATGGCTGAGTCAGAATCGGAGGCTGACAGTGTCTATTAAAACAAACCCCAACACTCTAAAAAAGGTCATTTTGAAGGACGGTAAACATCATCCAGTATTTTTTCTGAAAACTTTCTATAAAAGCAAATTCTTTGGTCTAATTCACTGTAAAAAAAAAAAAACAAAAAAAAAAAATAAATAAATAATTTATATATATATATATATATATATATATATATATATATATATATATATATATATATATATATATATATATATATATATATATATATATATGTGTGTGTGTGTGTGTGTATAAAATTACAATTAGTTTTTTTCATGATAAAGATAATCAAGATGACAAAAAGATCAATACGTTTTTTAATCCTTAAATGCCCTTCTTGAATGCGCCCCCTTGTGGAGGATACAACCACATGACTATTCTGTCCATTGATGATGCATAATTACATTCCTGCCAGGCTTATTAGCTCATCTCCGTTGTGGCATGAGAACAGGCTGTTGTTGTGCTTTACGCTGCTTCCCAGCCTCTTTTCAAACTGAATTATGTCAAATATGCCTGGTTTTATTGCCTGACCCCAGGCAGGTATTGAACACGGCAGGAGCTGTTAATGCATTGCTTTTATTTCAGCCTTGAGCCGGATCATCTCTAACTGTTATTTATTTATTTATTTATTTATTTTTTTTATGGATGTGCCTTCTACTGTTAGGGTTAGAAAAACACACACACCACACACACACCACACACACCACACACACACACACACAACACACACACACACACACACACACACACACACACACACACACACACACACACACACACACACACACTCACAGGGCAATCAGAGGAAAGGGGAGATGAAACCCAAACACCCCAGAATCGTGACAGACACTTTCCCACAATTCTTTGCAACCATTGGGTTGTGAAACAGAGCACCAGAATCCAGAGATCCCTCATCACGTTTAGAAGACGGTGGAATGTTGAGCCTCAGCTACTAGTTTCTCACTTTCAATTTCAATATTTTAGAAGTCTAATTCCATCATCTTCTAGGAGGGGGAAGCCATAGCCCAACGTCCCCAAGGAGACGTCTGTGCACATCAGCCTCCCCCTAAGACAAGTCGGGGCTCTGAAGGCACGCGAGTCCTTGACTTCTGAAGTCGAGCCCGCTCAACTTCGCCACCACCAGCTGCATCCGCCACAACCCTCTGTCACTCCCTATTCCGCGCTCCTTCCACCGCCGCCCCGCTTGCTCTCTGCGTCTGCGAGGGCAGCACTTCTGACAGGGTGACTGTGACTCGGCTGCCCTGAGTGGAGCTGAACGCTCCCCGGGGCCCCTCCCAGTAACTCCGACCGCTGCACATTCAGCGGCGCTCGCACGGGAAACGGGTCGCCCAATGAGACGGCGAGGCAGGATCCACCTCCTCCCCTCCTGAGGCATTCCTCGCCACCGAGCATGCCTCTCTGTGCGACACAGGAACATCTTATGCATTATTAAAAGATACTTTTCCTAAAAGGCTTCCGGCACATTATTCTGCAACCACGGTGACATATCTGGAGACTGGAAATGTCTGCAAGGATGTGATCACCAAGGTAGCTGCCATCATTATGGGGGGGCAAAGCAAGGGGGGCAGACAAGCTGCAGAATTTAAAGTGACACGTTTACCTTTGATTACTCAGGTAAACCAATAGCGACAATAATTTGATAGGCTGTAATTGGGACCTTGAATTCATATAGAGTCACAGTTTTACAGTTTATATGATTATTCCTGTACAGTGATGACAAAAAAAAAAAAGTTAGAATTTGATAAATTAAACCAGAAAGTCAGTTTGGAGTTTATCCATTATTTTGAGTTTACATCCTGGAAGTCTAACAGTTAAATGATAACTAAAAGATTTTAGTGAAATGAAAGACTAACTAAAAAATGTACTCAGCTAAACTAAGTATCTTCAAACAAACTAGCAAAACTTAGCCCAACAACTCTCTCCTAAGTGTCATTAAAAAAAAAAACAAAATAAGAATTGGTAGCTAAAATAGTAACACGCTTTTTATGATATTCTAACGAAGTGGCATGTTTCCCTTACAACCACATCAAAGACATTATAGCAGAAAGTAGCAACGGCGTCAGGTGTTAAGAAGCCTAGCTCGCTAGCAAGCCATTAGCTACGTATAAAGCTAGCTAACACTGGATTCAAGATTTAATTCTTGCTCCAACACGGACATCACACTTAATTATAGATTGATGTGATAATTCATAGCACGTCCCTTATAAACATACACTTCAAAATGAACTCTGGCAGCATCAAAGACACGAATTGAGCGTAGCATAGTAGCCGCAGTGATGCATTGAATGTCGTCCAGTTTGGGCTTAGCAGACAAAACGAGATGAGAAGAACAAATGTCCAAGAATCAAAGATCAAACGAATTTAATGCTAAAATGAGACAAATGTATCGACTCCTGCTGCTGAGTTAGATATTATATAATATTTGGTCAGTTTTACTTAATACGTACAGAAGATTAATACCTTAACTTAATTCATTCATCCTTCATTTGGGATATGTTATTAACCTTGATAAAAATATGGTTATGCATTATGTAAAAAGTAAGCAGCGCCGTGGTCAGAGGCTCGTCCTGAAATGTCCTAAGGGCACACATTTGAGGACGCTCAATTTCCAAATGCATTCCATAATCCATGAGTATTTGTTCAACAATCAACCTCCTCATTGCCGGGGGAGGAACTGAGCGATGGCGGCCGTTTCCTTTCACACGTTTCAGCACGTGTGTGATTTATAGATTTTCTTCAGCGAATAGAAATCTCCAAAACTCATTCTGACTGTGTAGTACATCAGTTGCAGTCTGCTTCTAACATGAACCGAACTCTTTCTTGTTTTGGCTTAACCCTGAGCTCCAGGAGCAAGTGGTGTGTGTGTGTGTGTGTGTGTGTGTGTGTGTGTGTGTGTGTGTGTGTGTGTGTGGGGTGTGTGTGTGTGTGTGTGTGTGTGTGTGTGTGTGTGTGTTCTCACCTGTGTCATTGTTCATCACTGGGTTGTTATGTCAACCCCTGCTCTGCCCTTTTGTATTCTCCATGTTCCCGATTGTCTTAAAGAGGTAGCATAATGGAAAATTGACTTTTTTGAGCTTTGCATCACATTATAATGTTAGTCCTTCATCAAACACATACACGGAGTGTTGCCTTGATTCTTTCCACGTGTGTTTGAGAAATCCTTTAAATCTCCTGTGGCAACCATTCAGCCGTGCAAAAGATTCGGGTGGACCTAGCCCTGCCTTCGAGGACGACGCTCCTCCTCCTCCATGTCGCCAGTTTTTCAGCATTTCAATCAGTAAAAACAAATGAAAAAACAACAAAATAATTCTTGATCAAAACACTTATTGTGATGCATTTTTCAGCCAAATCGTCCAGCTCTACCATCCGTTCATCCATTCAGTTTCTTGTTTTTTTTTTTTTTTTTTTTGCATGTAGAGCTTGGTAACTGTGAAATTACCTTCTATTTTGGATATTAAAGCTTTGAAAATTGGCCAAAAAGTACCCCGTCTTGAATTTTGATTCGGAAAAAAAAAAAAAACACGTAGAAACCCCACAGGACAGACTCGCCGTTTTGATATCTCTTCATTTAGCCCGTCCTTCCCTGACACGGCGCCTTCGCCACCCGCCGGCTCTCCCACCCACCGTTTGCTAAACCTGTCGCCATCATTTACAGATTGCAGATCTCACCGATTTGAAGGCGGCATCGCTTTCCGAAGTGACCGGGGGGGGCGGAGGGGGGAAATGGGGGATGCTAAACGGCGAGCCGTCTCGGAGACAGACCCCAGGGAAGCATTACAGGCCTCCTGTGCATCGCTCTGCGTCGCCTGCCTGTGTGTTTATTCACATGGACGGCCAGCGGCCCCATTGGCAGAGTTGTTAAAAGGCAAGATTAGGGATTCAGGAAATGCAGGCAGAGGAATCTGGTGAGCAAAGCAAAGGGAGCTGGCCAGGCGGCTTCTATCTTTATCTAGCTTTCATCTGTCTCTAACTGTCTGCCCTCCTGTCTCCCTCTCCACCCCCTCCACCCTCCGGTGCTCTTGTTGCTCTTTTAGTGAGACTCTGGTGGGGAATATGAAACAGGTGGACTCGGAGAAGATGAAAGTGGGAAGAGACAGGACAGAAACAAGTTCAGAGATTGCCCTTGAAAGCACATAAAAATGTGTGAAATTAAAAACGAAAGGTGCAAAAAAAAAAAAAAAAGAAATAGCCGCGATACCAGCGGCAACCGTGTAATTAATCCACCTTTCCCTGACTTACTCGTACTCATTTTTATTTTTTTTTAAGTTATACCTGGCAGCTTAGGAATTTATCGGGAAGTAATTCGGCAGGTGGGTGCAGCTCCCCCCTGGGTCCTCCAAAGATGTGATGGAGATTACCATTTCACAGTTCACCGGGTTTCATTTGCTGAGTGTTTTTTGTTAAATGAAAGAGACCGAAATAACCTCTTAGTTAGAGAACTTTAAAAAATTGGTGCGACAGCCAAATGACGAGCAACAGAATCAAGCAATCGTTGTAGATAAACAATAGAACCCAGATTTGCAATGAAGTGGTTAGCGGGAAAACGTTAGCGTTTTGAAGGATGGAAAAAAAAAACGAATAGGAACCTCAGAGGTGGGAAATAAAGGATGCGTCCTCTCGTTATTTACTTGGACTGCTGTTGGAAAGAGCAACTCTTCTCATGATTCAGGGAACCACTCGGTCACGCTCGAGCGGCCTAGGGGATGAAATGAAAGGAGACGCCGGGGGTAGCTCGGCCCCAGGGGCAGGCGGAGCGGACCGAAGCGGAGTCTGGCTGTTTGGGTTAGCGGTGACCTCACCGGCCCGACAATGCCCCGCGGCCCAGCTCCACCTGGGCCTCTAAAACATTTATGGGTTTAAATATAAAAAGCTGCAGCTTGCAACACTGGCAGCCGGCTACCTCTCTGGTCCCCAGTCGTTTTCGGACAGGATGTGTGTGTGTACCTTTTGGTTCAGAAGCGTTGTCTGCATGCACAAAAAGAAAAAGTATTTTTCTACTATTTGTGAAGTTGCACCCATCAGGATTTTGCAGGTGTTGTTTGAGGTCTGAACAGGGCTTTCCAGTTTTGTCTGATTCAGATTTTTTGTTGTTGTTATTCTATGTGCTGTAGTGCATAAAACCAATCAGTGTGGTTTTAATTTCATCCACACAAAAGAGGGAACACCCTTCCACCCCAAAAAACAGTCAAATCAATAGAGCAATCAAATAACTGTTATTTCCAGTTGTCGTTAAAATGACATATATTTAAAAAAATAACCTAAAAGAAATCTAACTTCACAGTGTAGACGTATTTGACGCCTTGAAATTGGCCTCTGTCTCTTTAAGAAGCTTCTACTCTTTCTGATACTTGCCCTTTATCATGCCATTTTTTGTCTCAAGTCTCCATGAATCAAATAATTGTATTTTTATTTTGCACCATCCCTCCCTTTAAGCTTTTAAAAAGTGAACTTTACTTAGACGGTAAAGTTGTGACGGCACAGTGGAATGAAATCAGGTCACATTAGCCTCACGCCAACACACGTCGGCCATGTTTGTTTCCTACAAAGGTTGGTAGCAATCCGAACAAGCTAACTGCAGTGGAAACCTCCCCATTCACAGTTTATTCATTGGAACGTCATGCCAAAAATATCATTAGAATGGTAATATTTGTCTATTTGCAAATGTTTTGTGAAATATTCTTAATAAAATGCAGCTTGGGCAGCTGGGATGCCTACATGCTAGGTAGGTAAACAGCCAGTTCAGGAGCAGCCTTCACTTTTCTTGGCACTGATTGGCTGTACGCTCATGAATGGAAATCAAGAAGATTGTCGGCATTAGTTATTGCGGTGGTGCCAAGATGGCTTCCACTGTGGGTGTGTATATATACATATATATATATATATATATATATATATATATATATATATATATATATATATATATATATATATATATATATATATATATATATATATATATATATATATATATATGTATGTATGTATGTATGTATATTAAAGTATATTTGGTATTTTAACTATTGAAATACAGTTAAAATTGCTTTAGGGAGAAGAAGTTCAGTTTATGGTGGATGTGGTGCCTGCGCCCCACCGGTCTCATGGGTCCCATGTAAATGCTCTTGCAACTTCTTTGACTTCCACCAAAAGAATCAGTGTCTGAAATGAAGACGGCCCCTGGGGCCCTTTGCACATAGAAACTGCACGAAGGGTGAAAAGGGGATCTCTGACGGAGAGTAGAGCGTACACTCACTTTTTTTAGAAGAGATCTCATCAGTTCTCGCTGACTAACAAAAGCTTCAATGACTTTACTGTTGACGCTGCAGCAAATCCTGGAGTTTCTTGACTTTTAAAAATAGACATTTTCCTCTCATTTCAGACAATTCTTTTCCCATTAAAAATACATTTTTTTTAAATAAAACCAAAACATTGAAAAGGTTTAGTCTAAATCTGCTTTTTTTTCTTCTAAATTTGTGTCAGAAAACGTACTCCAACACATTTTCTCAAACATTTATTTCATTGTTCTTGGTAGTTTATTGAGACAAATATTTAAAAAGAATGTTTTTAAATTAGATATACATAAAACACCTGTGTTATTTTAGTAAAACTGCTATTTAAAATTGTATGACTTGCATTTTAAAGCGTTCACCGTCACTTAAACACATTCATTCGTTGCATCCACTCAAACAAAGGGAGACACCATCTTTCTACAGATTTCTATAAATCTTTTTAAATGTTAGCTTCCCCCTCCATATTTCAAGATAAAAAGCCCAAATTAATATGTATCCATGACAGAGGAAAGATGAAATACTGCGCCCCATAGGCACAGTTTCTCACCATAAGTGACAAGAAACATCGGTTTTTCAAGCTTTTAACAGGACATTTCTTTCCTGCCATGTATGTTTTCGTGCTCAGAAGGATTCCCGTCTCCCTCCATCCTCGCCTCCTCTGACGTCCGCAGACCTTGATCGATGGTCCGAGGAAGAGGCCCGGCATAAAACAAACCCCTTCCTTCTCACTTAAAATGCACATCCACACTTCATCCATCCGCTCTCCCCCCCCCCCTTTCTTTTTTTTTCTCCTCTTCCCCTTTTCCTCACCTCGCCTTCCCCCGGGGCAACGGAGGGTTAGGAGCAGGGGAGTAATGAGGGGGAAGGGGGCCGCCGTGGCCGGGGTGGTTACAGCCGGGCTCTTTGTGGTCGCGCTGCTTGTTATCGAAGTCTTCGGCAGCGCTTGTTGTCTCATTACCCGCGACTTGAACCGCCTTTTCCTATCCAGACGTCGCAATGCGAGGTGTGCGGTGCACGCACGCACGCACACATTTGATCCGGTCGTCTCTTTCGTCTCCTCCTCACCACAGTAATATTATGTATCTTAATGGGAACAGGGAGCTCTGAGCCAAGAGTTCCTCTGGATAATTGGCTGCTTCCTCACCTGCTGACATCTCCCCCATTGACATTCTTACATTTTACATTTAAGGTGCTTCATTTCTTCTACCCACCTTAACCTCTTTTTTTCTTCTCTTTCCTCACTCTGTCCCTCTGACTTACACCTTACATTTTTTATTTATTTCTTTACTTTTCGGACTGATTCTACATTGTCGTCTTCTGCTAAATTGACTCCCGTCTCGTCGCGCTTCACGTGACGGGCTTTTCTCGTGAGCAAGAGTAAATGCAATGAAATTCTTCCATTTCATTTGTGCAGGACTAATGACATGAGAGGCAATTTGAGGGGATTTAAAGGATTCATTTATTTATTTTTTTCCAAATGTCCTCAGATCCTGTTTACTTCTGCTAACTATAGTGAATTATACTAAATCACCTATCAAAACAGTCTGCTTCTTCTGGAGATTTCTGCTACGTCTTTTGCTCAATTTTACTGTTGTACTTTTTGGAATATTTGTGCTTTCCTGCCAATTTCAGCCCTATTGAAATTCATTGAAAATCTATAAAAGTTAGCTAAAATCTTCTGTTTCTTCACAGCTTACTACTTCCGCCTACTTCAACATAGAAGTCTGCAAAAGAGTAAAAGAAGAAAAAAATAGAAATATCCTCTGGTCTAATTCCTTTTCTGTTTTGGAAGAAGAGGAGTCTAAAAAGTAGTTGCTGACGTAGTTTTTTTTTTCTGGATTCTAAGTTTGTTCTTATTGCTGCTCTGGGTTGCTAGATGCACATAATTAAGTTTTGGCAATAATGTTCCTGTTCTGGAAGCACGTTTTCTGGATTCTAGATTTGCTTAACAGCCTTTAAAGTTCAATTCGTCTTCAATGTGTTAAAATCTGTTACTTTCTTCATTAACAACCAGAAATAAGCACCAGAGAGACAATGTGATCAGATAGCAGTCATTTATTTTCCAGTCGTGTGACAGTGGATATTATTACTCATTTATTACAAACAGCAACTTCACTTATTGAGAAATAAGATATTATCACAGATTAGCTTGTACACAATAACTTAAATCCAACAAGTCAATCAAAAAATGAATCAACGGAAAATCAAAATCAAAAGATTAACTTGAACTTTGTGATTGGGAACATTTAGCCACAAGCAGGTCAGGGCTTTTGGTCATTTAATTGTGTCATCTATCCACTGCTTATAGGCACAGACGTCCATGAAGGCACTTGGTGCACTGAATGCATACGTTGGGTTTCCAACGAAAACACAAACGCCGTACAGCCTGTTCTTGAACTCAAATCCTCCACCGGAGTCGCCCTGTCGCGCACACAAAGCTCTTAGTTGTTATGCTGCTGTGCACTGTCCGGTAAAACAGAAACAATATTTCAATTTCGTGCCGAAAATTGTTAAGAGGCCGACGTACCAGAGAAATGTCCTTCTTAGAGCTTCTCACAGTGTACCACTTCTGGTAACGGTATTCACGGGAATCGTCTTTTGCCACTATCTTTTCCATCTCGTCACGTTTAACTATCTTAAACTCTGCACACTGAAGATTATTCTCCAGATTTGCAACTGTAGAGGAAAAAAACAGCACAAACATGTAAGGTCTGTTTAAGAGTTGACACATTTTGCTCAGGGTCTGACCTTATCTGTGGTTATGAAACGGCAGTATTGTTACTCGTATAAAATGTAATTTTTTGCAGTTGTATCAAAATTGTCACTATGTCTTCATGGTTAACATGAGACAGATGAACTATGATAAGCCTGATTTCCTCCACCTCTTCCCTGTTGTCCCAATTGTCTGCAGAAATGCACCACTCCAAGTCAAAAACAACCAATCAGAGCCAAGAGGAGGGTCTTGGCGCTGTCAATCAATGCACATGTGCACTCTGGTCACTTTGTGTGCTTGTTAAAATTTTCAGGCTAAACTCACAGTTTTCTCAGAACTTTCTATTTCAGATTGAAGCATTTTGTCTCAGAGCGCTTTTTGAGGAGCAAAACTGCAACTAGTTTGCTAAGTTCAGCTCCAGCAGAGAGTCTAAAAACAGATGTGACTCATCTGAATCGTCTTGAGAAACATGAACATTCATCTCACTTCTTCTGTTCAAATCGCCAGTTTTTGTCGGCCCATAACCTGCGAACTGAACCTTGGTGCCACTGAAACACAAGAAAAAACAAAACTAAAAACGAGTCGCGTCAAGAACTAACTCTGGGAGACCAGAGCTCAAACATTTTCCTGGATGAACATTGCCTCGTCTGGCAGATCTAGAGCCGAGTTCTTAGATTTGAGAAGATAAACTTACAGCAGGAGAGTGTCTGGACAGTCCGGCAGTTTGATTGGTTGGACCTTTGCTTTTTCTGACAGCTTCAGGAGCATGATGTCGTGTGGACGACCGTTGCTGTCTCTATAAACCTCATGTCGAGTGATTGTATAACTCCACTTTGGACCTATTCTAGGATGACCTCCTACAAGTACCCCATGAACCCTGGGCAAGAAAGACCCAATTAATTAACCAATAACTAATTAACAATCGGTTATAGGTAATTTCTCAGTAAAACTTTTCTTCAATCACCATCCTGGAGCGTTCTCCCAGCAGTGAGCTGCAGTCAGAACCCACTGATCACTGATCAGAGATCCTCCACAGATTCTTGATTCTTTTAAAGTTTGTCTATAGAAAGTCACATGGTAGAGTCGCTCATTGTTTCCACAGTTCTGACCGCCAACGATTCTCTTCTGCAGAGACACTGAGGTCACAGCAACACCTGGAGAAGAAAGTCTCTGTTTTTAGCAAATTAGATCCACACAGCAGAAATAAGGAATCGACATGAAAAAATAAAACACAGATCAACATAATTCACAGCATTTAGAGCCGGTGGAAGTGTGTCCGACTCACCCAGCCCCAGTAGAAGCAGCAGAACCTTCAGCAGAGCCATTGCTGGTCCAGCGTCCTGTGAATGGCCGCAGTCCTGCCGCAGCTTTTAAACTCTGTTCACAACTTCCTGCTGGACAGAAAGCCACCAATCACAGGACGGGCACTGAGCTCTGCTAGGCTGGCTGAGCCACCCCTAACATCTAATCCAAGGTTCTCCAGGCTCTCTGTATGTCTGACAGTTTTTATTTCTGGCTGATCAATGAGTCAGTTTCAGTCCAAATGTTTCCCTCCATCCCTCCTCGTGGCCCGGTGCGGCTTATATATTTACGTTTCCAGTTTCCAGGTCTGTTCTATAGTCTGGAAAATAAGTTGGGTCACTTATTTTCCGGACTATAAGTGTCAAGCAAGCTAAACACTTAGCTTGCTAAATAAATATTTCATTTGAAACAGTGACATTTACCAATGAATGAGTGACATGGTGAAAATATGACTGTAAAGTGAACCTCCATTGTTTTCTCTAAATAAGGCTAAATAACCCAATTTAATTTTCAAATGTGTAATTTTACAGCATGTTGAGATAATCCTTTCTCCAGCTTGGTTTGTAATGTTTGAGGTTTAAGAAGAGTCAGCAAGTTGAAATCACCAGGAACCATTTATTAAGACCAAACAGCGCTGGTCCATCGCCGGGTTTCCTTATGGTACAACACAGCAAATGGCACCTGGCAACAGTTTCTGATTGTTTGACGGTTCAAATTTGTTTTATGACTTGTTGGATACAGAGTAAAAGTCGACATAATCGCACACGTTCAGTAGAGCGAAACGGAAATTATTTCAGTACTTTTGAAAACTGTTTGTATCTTCTTTCTGTTTTTTTGCAACAGTCACAGCTTACTCTGTGAACGCTGTCATATTTCCGAAATGGCAGAAAATACACCTTAAAATGAGCAAATGAGATTTGACTAATTAGAAACACAATTACATATTCAGCTGTCACTTAAAAAAAGTCATTTTTATGCAGCTAAAAGTTAGTTTAGTATAAAGCAGAACTAATAACCAACATCAAGTTAAGGACAAACATACTGCACATATTTATATATATATATAAAGAAATAGAAAAAGCCCTGATTCTGCATTGTGAAAAATAAAAAGACTAACGGAACTGAAACGGCTTTTTTTTAAAGAATCTACGAATATTGCAACTTTATGGACCAAGAATATTACAAGAAATTTAGAAAGAACACTCTGTTATGGACCAGAGGACTCTTTGTCTTTTCTCTATCCCTTTTATCTGCTCACGCACACACGCTTACATAACCATAACAAAGTCCGACGCATGCACACCGGCGAACATGCTGGTCATTTGCATTTCCTGGAAAGAAAGATAACATCTAAAGAACTCGACACAAGTTACGGCGAGGCAGCACCTACATATGAGTGGCGCTCAAATCGCAAAAATGAAGACTTGACTTATGGTGTTTTAACATCTGAAAGTCTGGATCAGAGAACAAAATGACATTTGTCACAGCTGGTGCTGTTCAAATTATCCAATCCCTTTTTAAAAGCTGTTCCTCCTGCTCACCTGCGGTGGCGCTGCACCAAGAACCACTGAAGAAAACAAAAAGCATTTTACGAATGTCGCTGGTAAAAGCCGTTTCTCAGGTTTTGTTTTGGTTGGATTTCACCAGAATGCCCCGTCAAGAGGTCTCCGGTCCAGATTGAGTCCACATATGGATTCAAACCGCACCAGAGTTTACTTCAACTGAACCGAGACGTGGGCCTGTAGGCAGACCAGAGTTTTCTCTTTTGGTCCAGATCAGAGTTTGAGTCGGGTGGAGCACGCCCCAAGTGTGTCAGAAGAGTGTTTTTTTGGTGTTTCCTTAAATGGAAGAAAACATTTCTTTAGAGAAAATAGTTTCTACTTTAAAGTAATTTAACGTCTCCTTTAAATGCAACGTGTCGAAACTAACCGTTTGGATATGTTGATTCAACTTCGCTGGCTGCAAAAGAGTGAAAAAGCCTCAAACATAGGCCCAGCAGGGCTTCAGGCCAAAAGCACCTTTCTTTCATACCGAGAACTCGAAATCATTTCAGTTGTGAAATTGTTTGCGAATGACTTTGCGTTGACGTAAATTATCGCGACACTTTTTGCTTCGGCCTGTAGAATCAGAAATATCTGGAAGTAGACTAGAAGTTCTGTTTCACATCAAATTGAATCGACTCTACTCTTAATATTTGCTTAAAGTAACATCATTTGGGCCATGTATTCACACGGCGTGTTGTCAGTGAAGTCAACGGTTTAACAGTTTGTTTGGCTTCCAGCCGATCAAACTGCTTGGAGGTCCTATGCCTTCTTCTCCAGGTTTCTCTCTCCGGGCGGCTATTATTCACTCCGAGTCAGGTCCATGTTTCATAACAGGAGAGCCTCGCATAACTCCAGACATGGCCTTGGCTATCTGGCTCTCTGCAGCTCACTGCTGACACATCAGGGAGGCAGATAACTTCATTTTAAAGGTCAGTTTCAATACGAAACATAAGACGACCAATTAATGAAGCTATTCCAAAAAGGAAGGGAATTATTAATGTTGTGTTTAAGATGGCATTTAAAAGAAGCAAAGGCTGACGGAAGGGAAAAATCAAGGGCACTTTTCCCACCACATGCCAGTGAATGGGCCTCGTGTGGTTGGGAGTCATAAATGGATGTGTGGCGGCGTATGAAATAAATCAGTGTGTGACATACTACAGTGGTCCCTGTTATGGCCACAGCCACCATTTACACCGCTTTAACAATTGAATCCAGTCACGGCCTGTTGAAATAAGACTTCAGGGACAGGACCAAGATGTTGAGAGCAACTTCATCTTGGGAAGGGATATTATTATTAGGGAGAAACAAAATGTGAATTTTTTTCTAGTAAAAGTGTTATTACCCCTCTTTGTGCCACGCTACTGTGTGGCCTCAAATTTCAGTTTATTTTCATTAGGTTTTTAGTAGAGATGCACGATATTATCGGCATGGTATCGGCCGACGTCAGCTGTAAAATTTGATATCGGACGTCAAACTGAAAGGTGTTGTTTTGGGTTTTTTATATGACAATGATGGCGTTGTCTCAGAGAGCAAATGTCATGAATAAACTTGACATTCAACATAACGCGAGTTAAGAACGTTGCATCATTTTCGGCCTCCTTTTCAGCGTTTGCATTTGGTCGCAGGCCAAGTTGACAAAGCTAACGCGGTATTTTCATTTCGCAGTGGAACGTGCCGTCAAACTTTAATGGCTGACGACGTCTCAGCCACGCAGATGACTTGTCAACTTTACGTTGAGGCCACGTGCCTTGTTAGGACTTTTCATTTTTAATAATGATATTGTAATAGCTGAGTTGCTGACCTTTTAAATGCTTCATGAGAGGAAATGATTAAATAATTAACAGAAGTCATGTGCAAGTATTTCTCTGGCAGTGTGGAATGACAATGAATCCAACTGCAGTAACCTGCAGCTCTTACATTCTGCCTTTATTCGCCAAGATGGAAACATGGACAGCGACATATTCCAGGTAAAAGTGTCTCGCACTTTCAGTGAGCAGATTTCCAAGATCCAGACAGCCGATGAAGACCAAGATTTAATTCAGTCCAGTTCTATTCAATGTGAAATGCCTATATGTTTAATTTATTTCCCAATATTTAAATTTGGTTAAATTTCTTTTGAGTCTTCGACTGTGCAGCAGTTTGTCATATTGAGCGAGCATGTGGCCACAGTGGAAAGGAATAACTCTCTTGTAGACGCTCAAGAACAGAAGCAGAGAATTGAGTTGGTGTCATTTTTGTTATAAGGTTTTATTGAGGAAAAGTGATCCGTATACGATTGTGGTTCAAAAACTTGTGTCTGTACCTGCGTCTGATTTGGCCGTACAGGCAGATTGTCTCTTCCAGCCCTGTTCCGGATGTAAACTACACAAGCCGAGGAGCGGTTTTGTTATATTAAACATTGAAAAAGTTGAACGATCTTTCCAAACCTGCTCCTCAGCACAATTCTGTCTCGGGGGAGGGGTGCGGTTGGGGTGGCTGAGGACGTTTCCTTCCACCTGGCTCGGTTGTCTCTCTGACATGCACCATTAGCTGGGAGATTTTATGCGGAAAAGCTTGGAAAGCAGTCTGGTTGTGAAAGCATGTCAGCAACTCGTGTAGAAGTCAGACTGGCTCAGTTCTCTCAGACGATCTGAATACTCTCTGCAAATTGGGTGTATATTATTAAAATGGATTAAGTAGAGTCAAGCAATAGCTTCACTGCTTTCTGTTGTTTTGCTCGCACCGCTTTTGTCCTTTATGTTGGAGAGAACGCGAACGGCATTGTTTCTTTCTTTGTGTTGAAGTGAGAAGATTCGCAGGGCTGTGGAGGCTGGAAGCTGTAGCATCGTAGGCTTCGGTGCCGCAGAGAGCGATGAAGGTTTGGTGTGAAAGCAGCGGGATCCGGTTTACCCCGATGGCCTCAATTACCGCTTCCTCCCGTGTTTTGATGGGCAACAAACACCAGTGTGGTACTTCTGTCTTGCACGTTTCACAGGCACACCTCTGCTCCCCCGTGCTGTGGCCCGTGCTAATGTTGTCTCACTGTCAAAATCCAGTCCCACAAGGGAGGTTTCCTCACATCCCCTTCTTCTTCTGTTTCTCCGCAGCGCCGGATCATCACACGGGGACGCGGACTATGACTGACAGCCAGGGGAGCTGAGGAGACCTGCCACTCATTTTGCTATCAGCGTGTCAGAGGGGCTCGTCTCGACCCCTTCTTCCTCCTCGGCCTTCTCTTCTTATCTTCTGTAACCTCAAAGTCCTGGGCCGCTCTGGAAACTTGAAAAAGAAAAAAAACACTTCTAAATCAAGCATTGCTCCCCGTCACCCGCAAAGGGAGCTTGACATGCCTCCTCACGTCGTTTAGGTCATCAGAAAAAGACGACTATAACCCACCACCACCCCCCACATCTTCAGAAGGAGGCACTGCTCCGTGGGAAGGAGCTGAGAGAGGAGCAGTCATGAGGCTCCAGTTTGCACTGGCCCTCCAGGCGATATGGACCGGCATGTGCCACGCAGCCATGCAGCACTACCCTGCAGCGTGGGGCCACTACGATGTCTGCAAGTCCCAGGTGTACTCGGACGAAGGTTTAACCTGGGACTACATGGCCTGCCAACCCGAGGCAGCAGACATGACCCAGTTCCTGAAGGTCACTCTGGATCCCCCCAACATCACCTGCGGAGACCCTCCAGAGACGTACTGCGCCCTGGTGAGTACGTCACGAAAACTGAAAAGTCCACTGTCAAGAAAAGAGACTGGGGGGGTGGAGGGAGGCAGCTTTCTCATCAGTTTATAAGTAATGTGTGTCTACTTGGCATGTTCTGACCCCACAGCCATGACAAACACTCTCAAAAGCCTGTGTGACTCAGATATGTAGCTGTGGCTGAAGGAATTGAGGCTGGTGCCCATTGACGTCATGTTCTGCTGTTTGGAGAGCTGTGCCTCAGTATGCACCGCAAACACAATCTGATGTTGTGGCGATGCTGCTGAAAACACAGAAAAATGTGACTTTTCCAGCTGACAAAACAAGCACATGCTTCAGCCGCCTTATGCACACACCTCACACCGCTTTCTCTCTGTTCTGTGAGTTTGTATTAGCGCTTCCTCCCTGGGAACACTAAGGACAAGCAAATTATGAACGACATGCTCATCTATTGGTTTAAGTGGCTATTTACTTTTGGTTCAGGTTGGGGCACATTTGCCCTAATCGGACGCTGGGTGACTCAGTTTGTAGGGCGCCCAGTGGTGTAGGCGGCGGCGTCCTTGACGCCGTCATCCTGTTTGATTCTTGGTTTCTGTCCATTTGCTGCATATCTTCCTCCTTCCCTCTATTCATTTGCTGTACAATAAAGGCCACAAGAGCCTAAAAAGTCTCGGGCCCTCATGGGTTAAAACTAAGAGTGCCACAATCGGGACTTTTTCATACCGATCCACGTCATTCAACGACAGGACGATATCGAGTTCCAGTTGGACGTCTAATTAAACTGCTATCAGAAATCGATGCCTTGTAAATTCCTGAAAGTATTCATCAGCATGACATGACCCTAAATTAGTTTTGCAATTCTGCTCCACCTGATATTCTGGAGCTTTCATCTGTTGGTCAGTGGCAGATACATCTAAAAAGTGACTCGTTAACTAACCAAGCCTTTATGTTGGTGTAGCCAACATAAAATCGCTGACAGGAAACCAAACACTGTCAGGAAATGACAGTAAGTTATGGATTCGAACAGGTTCATGAGAACATTCCTCGATCGGGAGCTTGATACGATACGAAACCATCCACTTTTTGGAGCAAAGTTAAGCTCTGCACCGATTTCTTTGTTGTTGTTGTTGACTGTTTGTGCGTCGACACGCTCAAGTGAGCTCGTTTCTCAAGAATCCCAAAAGTAAGCAAAGGAAAACCATACTAGGTCAAGAATTTAATTAGCTAACCCCTCGCTGCCTTCTTCTGGGCACTTCTCCCCTCCCCCCCCTTGAAATTCACAGCTGGTCGCTTCGGATTAATCCGAAATGATGAATCCATTTCGGGCCGCAGCGTGTTACCAAGTCATCAAAGATTCCATCAGAACAAACGCGCTCCTCGACGGCTTCGAGAGCCCTTTCAGATAAATCGGGAGATGTCTCAGGGAAAAGTAGTAACTTGAGGCGTATAAATAGACCGTCGCCATCAGCACAAATTCAGCTGAGAGGGAAGATAGAGGAACAAAGAGGGATTAACAAATCACAGATGACAAAAAAGAAGAAGAAAAAAACAGCGAAGGGACGATCAGAGAGGCAAGAAGGCGCGCACATGAGGGAGACGGAGACTCGTAGACGACCGAAGAACTAATCTGTCCTGCGCAGGGGAAGAGGGACGCGGGCTCTAAACTGTGAATAATTCAACGTGTTTTGTAGCTAATGTGTTTTATTCATAGGACGCATTATTCAGCACGACATCTCAGAGGCACTCCTCCAAAAATGCTGACTCCCGTGACTCCAAGGTTGGTTGAATTTGGTGGGCAGGTGCGACGCGTCGTCACCGACGCGGAGAGCCGGAAGCCTTTCGAAAGGAGTCGGCACAGCTCTGAAAAGTCCGAAATACCGTGATTTGATTTCTGTGTTTAATAAATTTTTTTTTCTCAGAAAATTATTTAATAAATTATTTTTTTATTTTTTTTTACAGAGTTCTGTTGTGATCAGTCCATTGATTTAATTTCACGTCCCTTTGGAGGAATCAATGCCAAAGAGAAATTCAGTCATCATTTTCCGATTTCAGAGGAAAGTAAAGATTCCTTCCCTGTTTACTTCCCCACTTCCGGTTTTTTATTTCACATTCCCAAAGCCTGGTCAACATTTCAACTCTTCACTTTAGACAAAGTGACAAATCTTACCAAATATTTTTGGTCTCATATCAAGAGCAAACATCTTATTATGCTTGAAATAAGAACAAAACTGACTTGCAATTTACACTTTTGCAAGATACGTAACTTTATTTTGTGTCAATAATTCCTTAATAGTGATTAAAATAAAGTACTTGTTCGACTGGCTGATTATGAGACTTATGAGACATTTTTCTGGTGTTATTAACAATTTCATCTGTTAGTGGAACAACTACTTTTTCACCAATGTAGGTGCTTGTTTCAAGTCAATGAAATCTTGCTGAAAAATTACTTGTAAGTTAGATTTTTTTTTTAAATTTCTGGTGTACTGAGATATTTGGACTGGAAGCTAGCTGGTGAGATTTTGTGTTTTGGAAACAATCAATATTTTGAAGTTGACCGACTGGACTCATCGGTTAGTTGACTGTAAAAGCCGAGAATTTTCAAAATGACAAATATAAAGGAACTGTGGCTTCACTATTTTTTTTGTTTTTTGCTCTGCGGCAACGAAATGCTATAAATCCTGGATAAACGCCAGCAGCCATTGGATTTCCAGAGAAAACACAGCTCAAACGAGGTTTACGATTATTACCGCCAGTCTTTTAACAAGCTGATGGCGGCTTATTGAATCAGCGGCAGTTTGTGCCGCGCCGCTGCACCGGCGGTCAATGCGATAGGAGGGGCCTCGATTAACCAGTCGGCGGCCGGGCCCCGCGACGCCATTTCCTCTCTCCGTTGAACTCCGGGGATCACAAATCACACGAGCGTCAGTGAAATATGACCCCCTTCCCCACACCACCACCTCACCGCTTAGCCACGGAGTCCGATCCTCTGCGACTGCTTTATTTTTACCTCTGTTCGGAGAAGTGCGGCTCCAGATCAACATGGAAACAATTATTATTGATATTTCAGCCACTCAGCACGCCGATGTCACCGGGGCTCGTATCACGAGTCGGATCGTTGAGCATTCGGTTAATCATCGCACGCTGGCGTTATCGGGAAAAATCATCTCTCCGGCGATTGATTGTTTTAATATCTGCGCTCACAGAGGACGTCGTCGCCTGGCTTCTGCTTCCTGGAGGGCTGAAGGTAACGGACACCCAGGCCTGACAGGAGGGAGGGAAACGCTGGAGAGCGTGGCGCTCAAGTGAGCTCAGGTTGCGGCCTCCATCCCAGGGTCACAGATAAAGGAAGACAGCGTCTCTCACACACACACACACACACACACAAACTGCTTGCTCCAGTACAGACTTTTTATTCTCCTTCTGGCCTGCCGACCTTTTCAATAGCAATAAGCTGGCATTCTCTGAACTCCGACACATGAATCTGCCATGATATGAGATTCCACCGTCCCCTCCAGTTAGACTCACATTGATGTCTGGACAGCTTTCGCGGCCGCAGCCGCCTCCACGGCCGACATTGTGGCGGGACGCGAGAAGGCGGCTTTGACTTTGACGTTTGTGAATTGTTAATGGAATATTTTCAAGAGGTGAGCTGTTTGTTTTGGGGAAATTTACAGCGAAGTATCAGGGCCACACTAAGCACAAAACATAGAAAATTACGAGAATAAAGCCAAATAACATTAACAGAATAAATAAGATAATACTAAATCTGTTAATACATCGGCATCAGCCTGCTATCTGTCTTGAGTCCTGCTACTCATAGTAATGCTGTTTACTATGACTTTAATCTGGTAATATTACTGCATTATTCTAGGATTACAACTACTTCATTCTGGACATTTTATAATTTTATATTAGCAATATAAAATCAAAATATTACCAGTTCTCATATTTTGTTCTGGTTTTATTAAGACCTTAGTCTCACAATATTATTGCTTTATTCTCATGTTAATATAACTTTATTCTTGCAATATTGCTGCTTTATTCTCGTGCAAGATCATTCTCGTAATTTTACGACTTTATCCTCTTATTATTATTTTTTTTCCTCAGCCTGGAAAAATAGAGTTTTACAATCTGTTGTAAAAATTTGCCCCAAAAAAACTAAAAAATAAGATTAAAGCTAAAGGCTCCGACAATAAAATGCTGTTACTGGCTTGTGATACTGTGGATGTCTTTGGTCTTGGCAGAGAAAGTGCAGTCTGTGTCTGTACTGGTGGCGAAACTGATAAATCCTTAAAAGTCCACCGTGGTCCCCAGACAGTTAGCAGGTAATGTGAAAAGAAAAAAGATTATTAGAAGTAGGTGGATAATGTGTCCCTTTTTTTTGTCCACTTTTAACACCACTCAGAAATAGACAAATACACGGTTTTGATTCAGTTTAACTCGTAAAATTAACATAGGCTTTCCAAACAAAAAGCTTTTCTCTACTTGAAGCTTTTTGGCCCCTGCCTTTAATTGTGAAATTAAGTCTTTGTTTCTGTTAATAATGAGTGTGAAACTGTGTTAGTATTTTTATTTAAATATCTTCTTCACGCTGCTTTAACTCATGCAGACTCCTGGTGCTCTTGAGGCGAGCTTAATAAAGCGCATTAGCAGAGCTCAGCAGAACTGTGAAATGGTTGCTTTCCTCCTGCTCAGGTCCAGGATCATCTCCTTCTCTTGAATGTGAAATGAACCATTTCGGCTTAATGTTGAACATGTCAAACTTTATTCAGACTTTTTTATGCTTTAGAAAGAGGTTAGCGTAAAAAATGGAGATTAAAAATCACCAAATATTTCAGTTATGAGTAAATTCAGCTTTTTTTATTATTGCGGCATTCGACAAAGACGATGTGGAAATGTATCCGCTTTGGGACGCTAAGATGCAATTTTTTTTTAAGAAGGAAAGATGCAAAATTCTTTGTTTTTACCATCTAAACTGATGAAAAGCTCAACTGTTCTACCTTCCC